GGGGAAAAGGAGCTTGAAATAATTGAATTGAGGCAGGCTCTTCCCAGCCATTCCCAGCAGTGATTCTCAACCACGGTGCCATGGCACCCTGGAGTGCCTTGAAATTCTTTCAAGGGTGATGTAGTGCCACAAAATGTTAGTACTGTTAGGTGTGCAAACATGATTCACAAGATAAATCCAGAATTTTCACATAGGGACTTACAGTGTTAAAACATTCTGATCTATTGTGGTCTTTTTGAGCTCTTTGCAACTGAAAAATTGCTCTGTTGTTTTTCGGTAATAAAAAAAAAAAGAGTCAAAACTAAAAGCTGGTGTTTTCTGATGCACGCCTGTTGAGAGGTGCCTTGAGTCTACAGAGTTTGAGAACCACCAGATTAGACAATCTGTTTAACGTGTACGGTGGAGGCATGGCCTCAAAAACAAATTCTATGGTGAAGAAAAAAGAGTAGAGCTCCATATTTTTGGTGATTTGTCCAAGAATGCAATAATTTATTTTGTACATTGGCAGGCTTGAAGTTTGAGAATAGTGCTGGGAAAATTATTGCCTGTTTTGGATGATAAAATATGTTTTCAACAATGCATGTTTTGCACAGAAAATGCATCAGTTTTTCACAGAAAATATTGACTTTTAGTTGAAAAATTGAATCTTTATAAACTAAAGGTGGGGGGGGGGGTTATCATAGCAATTCAGAAATAATACTGTGGACCCTGAACTGAGCTGCAGTTCACATGTTTTAGGCTCCCATTCTTCTGTATAGGCTCTGTTCCCCTTGTGATCCACCTTTCTAATGATGCACCATGTTTTGGTATTCATGAGATTGCACAGACTGTATTCTGGGAGCTGTAGTTTGGTGAGAATCCTGGATTAGAGCAGAGCCTGATGGCATTAAGTCAGCCAAACTACAAGTACCACTAGGCAATGCAGTGTTATTGAGGGAAAGTTGTTGTCTTCACCTAAAGTTTGTAGATGGGCATATTTCAATTTGGATTTCTATTTCTTCACTGCCACCGTCCCTGGAAAACCAAATTTTTCTGTGGCGGCAAAATAAAATTCCATTTTCCAATTAGCTTTAGTTCAGAGACAACAATGAGAATATGCAACCACAAGATATGCAAAAGGTAAAGCTAACAGAGAACTAGTACTTTTATAAGACAAGTGCAGCAAACTGAACAAGCATTAAAGCAATTGTCACTCTAAGATATGTAAATAGAATTAAGTTCTTTTAAAAGTCACATACACACCCATTTGAAACATGTTCCTTATCATAATTCTCTTGGTAATTGCTGTATAATGTAGTTATCAATCTTTTGTCTTTGGTCAGATTCTCTTAAAATCTAACACCTTTCATTCATAAATATTCAGCTTCTAATAGACTACCATTAATTCTATAGCCTACTTAACAGCTTTGTTGTCATCCTTCAGTTTGCTATAAAAAGCTACTTTTTCCCCGCTAAGTACATACTTCTTCATTACAATCCAATTGGAAATCTATTTTAATCTGTGTCAGTGAAGAGCTGACTTTTTATCTAGTTGTCAATCTGAAGTCTTTGGTCCAATATTACCTTTCCTTTTACTTTACAAGTTCTTTGAGTGTATTTTTCATGATGATTATTGTGGTATGATGATTTAAAGAACTCATGCATGAGTTCTGAATTCTCTATAAAACAGTTGGTATATGGAAAAGTGCTGCATCATGAATGCCTGCTGCCAGTATGTATTTTTCTGTACAGACAAGAACTCAGTTACACCCTTGTTCCTCCTAGATGTAAGGTAATTAGTGAATCTAAACGTGAAATTAGGGTGATGGATTAAACTCCGACACAGTTCACGCCGGAGTCAACTGCTCCCCAGCACAGTGTCTACATGTGCACCAAGGACAGCAGTAGTTTGAGCCGGGGTGTTGTAAGCCCCTGGCTGGTGGGGCTGACTGGGTACAATTTACACCCTTGGTCACTGTCTACATGTGCATTTCAGCACAGTAAAGTACTCCACTATAAGAGAGTACTTTCATTGATAGTACTATCCTATGGCAGAGTTAATTAGTGTACTGCCCCCCAATACCAGTGCACATGTAGACTATGGCACTTTATGGCACTTCAGGCTACGGAACCTGAACCTATTCAGTCTCCACAAGAGAAGTCTGAGAGGGGATCTGGTGGCTGTCTATAAACTTACCGGGGGGGGTCAGCGGGGAATGGGAGCACTACCAGGAGTAATTGGAATAACTGCCACAAGTTGACTGAGAGTAGGTTCAGGCTGGACATCAGGAAGCAGTACTTCACAGTCTGGGCAGCTAGGATCTGGAACCAACTTCCAAGGGAATTGGTGCTCGCTTCTATCCTGGGGCTCTTCAAAACGAGGCTAGATAATCACCTAGCCGGTGACCCCAGCCCGCTTTCCTGCCATGGCAGGGGGTCGGACTTGATGATCTGCTCAGGTCCCTTCCGACCCAACCAACTATGAAGCTATTGTGGAGCTAATTAGTCAACTGCAGTAAAGCACATGTGTAGATGCACCCAATGTATCTACAGGATAGTTACCAGGTTGAAGGTGGAATACGGTAAACTCTAGTTAATTCATCTATGGGATAATTTCCCACTATTTTCTAATTCGCTGTTGCTGGATAATTTGTCATTACTTGCATTACCCTTTAAACTAAAAATTACATAGTTGCGAGATGAGTGGACACTTGCCCGGGACAACAGAAAGGGCTGAACTGAAGAAGATGAATGATGGACACATCGGAGAAGACAAAGCATGAGCACATTGCACAACACACACACCCCCCCCCCCCCCCCCCCCAATTTCCCTTGCCCCAATCTCTTAAGAAAAGGGCAAGGGGCATTGAATTCAGCATGTGTCTTATTTTCTGAGTGCTTTGCATTTCTCACACTATTAAAGAAACAGCAGTGCTGCGCTAATGTGCGTTCTGTGCTACGCCACCTTGGGTTCCTGAAGACGCATTGTAAGCTAGAAAGCTCCAAACTGACGTGGGTTTCTGGGAAAGGGTGTAATTAAGCAACAGCAGGAATCTGAAGAGAATTAGTTTTCAGAAGGGAGTGGCTAAGAGGAGGATCTACTCCACAAGAATGTGCTGGAGGTCCCAAGGCAGAGGCAGTGCTTGGACTCCAGTTAGATACTTGAGCTCGGGGGATTCAGCATCTGGATTCATTTGCTGTAGTTTGGCACGCTACCAGAGGGAGTGTTTGGCTCAGTCTGGCACATATGGTAAGAAACAATGGCGTGGGATGTGTAGAGAATGAGGGAAATGGTATAAAGATTGTCCAATAAGGTGCTAATCATATTCACTTCATGATTTTAAGTCTTTGAAATTATTTTGGAAAAATTAATACCCCCGAGTACCTCTTAATCTGGATATCAACAGTTTTGCTGATTTCTTTATTTCATAGCAGTATGACACGCCGGAATCTCTCACTTGTCGCTGTCAACCACAGGCCCTGTTACAATGCAGCAGATGAGGCCCATGTAACTAATTAAAGACATAAGTATATGTGCAAACACATATGAATGGATATGCTTTTTGTAGCTCAACATTGCCATTCAGTCTCTGTTTGGTCTGTGAAAAAATAAGTGGTACCAGTTTTTTCCTGGTGCAGTACACTTGTCTTAAAGCTGCAGGCCAGGATGGAGGTAGATAGGCAGAACCAGTGCCCTCTGTAGTCATCATGCAGCTGCATGGCAGGGGAAACAGCAGCCTGGAGGTAGCATGGAAAGAAAATCCTTGTTGGTATGCGAATAGTCTCTCTGCTTCAAAAGGAAAACATCAGGAAATCTATAAGAAGAGACTCCCTCAGGGAAAGGAGAGTAAACATATGAGACATTGTGAGAACATCTGTCCTAAGAAATGACTTGATACATAACTATGCAAACAGAATGGGAGATACTTCAACATAGTGTCTCAGCACATCCATACAATAGGAGGAAAGTGCAGAGAGCATGGCATATACATCCTATAGTAAACTATATATGAGGAAATATTTTAGCTCCTACATTCAGGTTTTTGCCTCCATAAATTAAACATGTTGTATCAAAACTTGCTGTAATTATAAGCAGGTAAAAAATGAGCAGAGGACACGGGCTGTGTGGGAAATGATTTTCCCATCCCAGGAAAATGCCTGAGATTTTGAAAATGTTCCCACTGTGAATTGGCACAAAAAGTCAACATTTTAAAATATAAACAGATAAAAGTTCATATAAGAATAAATAAACAAATAAAGGCAATAAATAAGAAAAATCAAGAGCCAATTAACCGAAATAAAAAATTAACTTCTGGCCAAACCAATTCACTTAAATCATTTCAAAATGTTTCATTTTAATTTTATAGTTCAGGTTAGTTTAGGTTAGGAAGTTTAGGTTACATATTAGGAAGAGCTTTCTCACTAGGAGGGTAGTAAACACTGGAACAGGTACCCAGAGAGGTGGTGCAACCTCCATCCTTGGAGGTTTTTAAGACCTGGCTAGACAAAGCTTTGGCTGGGCTGATCTAGGTGGGGGTGGTCCTGCTTTGAGCAGGGGGTTAGGCTAGATGTGACCTCCTGAGGTCCCTTCCAACTTTAATTTTCTGATTTTATAATTATTATGATTATTTTAGTTTTTAAATGCATTTTACCTAGAAGCCTATTTTTTAATTTTAAAACTACCAATTTGAATGTTTTTATTAGAAACGTTGTCAAAGCTAATCTTTTTCTGCCACCAATTTTCAGTTAGAAACATTAACATTTTTCAGTGTTAATGATGCCAAAAAATGACTGGCCAGCAGTAAAGCGTGTGGATAGATCTATGTATACATGCACCTACTTGGAAGTAATGGTGTTGGGGAATAATGAGGGGTATATTTTGTAGGCCATCATGGATTTAGCATCACTCCAGCTCTATTGTAATATATGTTCAGTGCTACTTAATCTTGTTTTGCAAGTGATTGCTAATGATTATTTTTATGATTTTTTTTTACTCTAGAAACCACTGGACCCAGCCCACACCAAGGTCATGACCAATTATTGAGCCCTCTTACCTGAACTGTCCCATTGACTTCAATCCCACTGACTGATGCAGGTGATAACCAGTATGAATTATAGTTGCAGTCAACACAATTCTCATTAGCTGCCTTCAGGGCCAGATTTTTAAAATATCTGTGTGTGTAGTAGCTCCCATTTAAGTACTTGATGACACTCCTTGGCACAAAGCAGTTCTCACTTAGCACTGTTAGAGCTACTGGGAACAAAACGCTTGGAAGTTTTGGTCAGTTCATTCCCATTTAGGTGTCTGTATAAAGCACTCTTGAATATCTGATGCTTAATGTTGACACATTTATTTTTTCAAACAGATGGTACTTGCCAGATTCCACACACATGAGTGACGTTGCAAAGTGCAAGGTCAGCAGTAACACAAACATTACACTTACCTTTCACTGGAAGCTTGACAATTGAAAATGCAGTCTTATATTTAATAGAATATGCAAAGTGTTACAGGTGTGATGCCACAGAAATGGAAAAATACCAATCTTGCTTCTATCACTTATTGAAACCAGAATGAGGGGTAACGTTACAAGCTTAATCCCTTAGGCCAAATTCTGCTTGGACCTGTACTGTTGGCCATATTGTCTATCCTGGATATTCAAAGAAGAGGATATAGCTATATTAAAAGTTTGGGGATAAACTAAGGTGATGATAACAGGATAATGAGGATTTTTTTTCTTTCCCGTGTGTGTGTGTGTGTGTGTGTGTGTGTGTGTGTGTGAGCGTTGGGGGTAAACACTGGGGATGATGATTCTGATCAGAAGTATTAATTATGTCAAGGGATCTTATCCCTTTAAACTGTAACTGCATTTTATTTTGTCACTGTAGGGAGTCTACTGGATACAATACTTATTAATGGCTTCTTTTATAACAATACAATTGGTAACAATTTCCTATATTTATAGGAAATTAATTTAGTGGGCCAAATTCTAATTTCAAGTTTGTTGGTGTAAATCTGGAATAATGAACTGTGTGTGGCTCATCCTTTGAGATCAATGGGAGTAGGCTCACAGCTTTTACATCCCACCAAGGGTGGCTTTAGATCATCTAGCTCACTCATTAGCCAGGCAAAACTCCCAGGGAGAAGTCAGCTCGACTAGCAGGGGAAAGGACCTTCCCTGGTCTGAAAAGCTCAGTGTGCCAATGCATATGTGAGAGAGATCTTCTGAATTAGATGAGACATTCATAAGAAGAAACTTTTCCCACCATCCCAGATCTATTCTGACCTTATTGTGGGAGGAGGGGGACAGCAACAAGCAGAACGCAATTCATGTCAACTTCAGTTCTCAGCTGCAAATCATTGACTTACAGGTGGTAACTGACAACCCAATTGGCCCCCTCATTTTTTCTGATTCAGGATTGGTTCCTGCATTTTATGTACCCTAAACTCCCACTAAAATCAGCTGGCTCTCTGTACTACCTAGCAATTCCCACACAGAAGAGACATCATTGCCTATTTAAACCAATTTGCTGCTCGTTGTACAAATTACAGAAACTGTAGAAAAAATACGGTTGGAAGGGACCTCAGGTCATCTAGTCCAACCACCTGCTCAAAGCAGGACCTGCCCCAGCTAGATAATCCCAGGCAAGGCTTTGTCTAGCTAGGTCGTAAAAACCTCCAGAATGGAGAGTCCACAACCTCTCTGGATAGCCTGTTCCAGTGTTTTACTACCCTCCTAGTGAGAACATTTTTCCTAATATCTAACTTAAACTTCCCTTGCTGCAACTTGAGACTGATGCTTCTTGTTCTGTCATCTGTCACCACTGAGAACAGTTTAGCTCCATCCTCTTTCAAACCCGACTTCAGGTAGTTGAAGTCTACTATTAAATACCCTCTTAGTCTCCTCTTCTCTAGACTAAATAAGCCCAGTTCCCTCCCCCTCCCCTGGACTCTCTCCAACTTGGGCACATTCTTTCTGTAGTGGGGGGCCCAAAATTGAACACAGTACTCCAGATGTGGCCTTACCAGTGCTGAATAGAGGGGAACAATCGCTTCCCTTTACCTGCTGGCAACACTTCTATCAATGCAGCCCAGTATGCTATTAGCCTTCTCGGAAACAAGGGCACACTGTTAGCTCATATTCAGCTTATTTTCCACCGTAACCCTCAGGTCTTTTTCTGCGGAGTTGCTGCCCAGCCAGTCAGCCTCCAGCCTGAACCAGTGCATGGGATTATTCCGTCCTAAGTGCAGGACTTGTCATTGTTGAACCTCATGAGATTTCTTTTGGCCAAATCAATTTGTCTAGGTCACTCTGAACCTAGCCCTATTGTTCAGTATATCTACTACTCCTCCCAGCTTGGTGTCATCTGCAGACTTGCTGAGGGTGCCCTCTATGCTATCTTCCAAGTCATTAGTGAGGGGATTGAACAAAACCGGCCCTAGGACCGACCCCTGGGGGGACTCCACTGGATACTGGTTGCCAACTAGATATTGAGCCGTTAATTACTGCCCTCTGACCCTGATGATCCAGCCAGCTTTCTATCCACCTAACAGTTCATTCATCCAGCTCGTGCTTCCTTAGGTTGCCTGGGCGAATGTTATGGGAGACTGTATCAAAAGCCTTTCTAAAATCAAGGTATACCACATCCATTGGTCTCCCCATATCCACACAGCCAGTTGTCTCATCATAGAAAGGAATCAGCTTGGTCAGGCATGACTTGCCTTTGGTGAACCCATCATGACTGCTCCTAATCACCTTCTTCTCTTCCAAGTGTTTAGAAATGGATTCCTTGAGGATCTGCTCCTTTATTTCTTCCAGGGACTAAGGTGAAGGTGACCGGTCTGTAGTTCCCTGGATGCTCCTTTTTCCCTTTCTAAAATATGGGCACTAAGTTTGCCATTTTCCAATCACTGGGACCTCTCCTGATTGCCATGAGTTTTCAAAGATGATGGCCAGCAGTTCTGCAATCACATTAGCCAACTACCTCAGCACCCTCGGGTGCATCCCATCTGGCTTTGTACATGTCCATCTTTTCTAAACAGTCCCTAATGTGTTCTTTTGCCACTGTTGGCTACTCACTTCCTCCAAAATTGTGCTGTCAGGTGCAGTAATCTGGGAGCTGACCTTGCCTGTGAAGGCTGAGGTGAAAAGGCATTGAGCACTTCAGCCTTTTCCACATCATCTGTCTTTAGGTTGCCTCCCCCATTCATTAAGGGACCCACATTTTCCCTGACCTTCCTCTTGTTACTGGCATACTTACAGAAACCCTTCTTGTTACCTTTCACATCCCTTGCTAGCTAAAACGCCAACTGTGCTTTGGCCTTCCTGACTTCATCCCTGCATGCCCAAGCAGTACTCTAATATTCCTCCCTAGTTGTTTGTCCAAGTTTCCATTTCTTGTAAGCTTCAAATTCAACTTTGTGTATATGTTTGGGGTAGAAAGCTCAACACATAGGGAGAAGGAAAAGTTCTCCTTAGTAGACTTGGAAATACAGACTATGGAATGCATGGCATAGTTTCTTGGAAGCCATTGTAAGAGGCCCAAAGAGGTGAAACTGAAAATGGTTTCAATATAGCTGACAAACCAGTCATCATAAACTCACATACTGGGGCAAAGTTTATGCTTTGTTTATATTTAATTAATAATATGTTTTATATTTTGAAGCTCAATGTTAAGACAACTGACTAATACTTTTAAGTTCCTCAATGTTATAAGGACATTCTAAGATGGTGAGAAACAGAAGAGAGAACTCTATGCCATTAGCTGTAATACCACTACCAAAGATGAAGGCTTCAAAACTGCACTGTGGTACTCAAACTTTTTATAGTCAAATAGCTACAAGGTATTTTTAATGGGGTATCAAAGACCAACACAAGAATATATACACCATTATACATATGGCATTATAACATTGTGCCTGCCTGGCCTCGAACATTCGGTTACGTGCGGCCTTGGTCCGGACGGCTGGTAGCGGACATCCTACAGTCTTCTGTAGGCTGGTGTGTAGGTGTTTATCACCTGTGGGTGGTCTCCCCCAGTCTCTCCTGCCATGACTTTGAATGTTATACCAGTGGGGGGGATGACCACCCAGGGCTCCTCTGTGGCAGGGAGTCCACCCGGCGGTCATCCATGGGGTTCCAACTCCCCTACGCCCCAACCTTACGCCAACCTTCGGCGGGTCACCTGATCTTCTCGGCCATACTCCCAATGATGTTGTACTTCTGGGCGTGGTGGTCTTCATAGCTCTCTCCCGTCCTAGGTCCTGCTTCCCAGGATAACTCACTCAGTTGGCTGTAGGGCTACAGGAATCACTTCCTCCTGTCCCAAGGCAGTCTCCGCCCAAGTCTCTAAATCTAACCTGTGCTCAAAATAAAAGATGGAGGACAACAGAAGATATGATATAGCTATCCTGCCTGTGCCACCATGCCCTACTTCTCAACCCCTCCAAAAGGGGGAAACAAAAAAACCCAACACAAACTAAGTTGGGAAGGGCCTGCCTGGGTCTTTCCCCTGCCATTCTGCTGGGGTAACAGAGCAACCCTTGCTCCCTATGATCCCACCGGGGTTTGGCCCATTGTAGGGCCAGGGTAGACTGTCGCCCTTTGCCCTGGATCATTTCTCCCCTCACTCTGCCAAGTGTGGTATGTGGCACTGCTCCCCTTTTCCACTGTTGGGGACATCCTGCTTCCAGTGCCCTGCGGTACCTCCCCAAGAGTCTGGCCACTTCTTATATTATGAGCTGGCACCCAGCCTCTTGTTGTCCTGCTCCGCAGCTCCTCTTGCCGCTCCCTTCTGTTATGTCCCGGAGGGAGACCCTCCTCTGCCGCCCACGTTCCCCCGATGCTCCCACCTTTGTTGGTGTAGAGAGCCTCTTCTGGCTCCTCAGCCTCCTCACCATGCTGTTCTCCGCTGGTGCAGACAGCCCCTGCTGGCTTTCTCCCTGGGAGTATCCCAGATGGCGTCCGGTATCAGAGTCTTCCCCAACTCTGCTCCCTTCCATCTGCCATCCTCCCCAGTGGTCCGTCTTATCCCCAATGGCCGGTGATTGCCGATGACGTCACCAGCTGGCTTCAGCTACATAAAGGCGTGACTTACAACCCGCGCGGCTTTCCTTTCTCACTCTTGCTGCGCTGTGGGTCATGTTGCTGGTAAGTATGTTCCTTGAGTTATTTTTGTGTTTGTTTCTTTTTTTATGCATGGTTCCCACCCTAGGGGTTCCCCATTTATTGTTTGGGGTTCTTTCCGCCGCTCTCCCTCGGGACAAACATAAGCTTCAGTTATTAAAAACTCAAATGCTTGTTTAATTTACCGTATTTATAGTGACTTCCTTGAAGTAAAATATCAAAGCAGAAGTTTTTGCTTTAGTTGGCTACAAGTATACATAGAGATGTAACTCATTTCTGTGCATGTGTAATTTTTGAAAAAACAAATCAACATATTTTACTAAGAGACTTTGCATCTTGTTGTCAGGACATCATGTGACCCAGAGGAAGGCTAAATGAATGGTTGTGGAGAGACAAATACTGCTCAATAAATGGGAGAAGAATGAGAGACTGCAACAAATCCCAGTGCATCTAATCAAAGCAAAGAGAGGTAGGAAGAGAGACAGACACCACAATATATCTTACTTTATAGCTCATTCTGATTCTCACTCACTTTCCATCATCTACCTGTTTTCTTTCAGTGTAGTTTGTTTATTCCCCGTTTCACTATTAATGTTCATTCCAGCCTGGTGCTAGTGTAGAGATCTGAGATTTGAAGCACAAACCATATATTCTTATTTAAAGAGGGTTGAAGGGAACCAAACTTGTTCTGGCAGTGAAGAAATAAGAAATAGAAACAGCCATCCAAGTGAAAGGAAGAGTTTCCTAAATGAACAGTCCCCAATTACACACCTACACTACTGTTCTTTATCTAGAGATCAGAATTAAAACTAATATCCAAAATGGAGGAAGGTTCTTTCTCTTTTTTTCCCAACAGTTCAGTTTTTCACATTAAGGGCTGAAATGTGATTGCCTGAGGAAATGCACACAAAAGACAAGAACCCGTATTGTTTACGAAGCACAAATGCACTACACATGCTAACAAGCTTAACATCGGTATTAGCATACCCTTAACATGCTATAAAATATTAATTTGCATAGTCATTCCAGTACTGGGAACTTGGACCTTGACCCAGGACTCATTGGAATTCAATTGATAGACTTCCATTGAATACAATTAACAGACTTCTGTTAATTCAGCTGTCTTTTCTGTCAGGCTCATGATACTCATTCTTACGCCAAACTCAGGAATCTGGGTCTACTGTGAATTCTTTGCCTGGTTTCAACAAATCACATAACCTCTCTGCTTCACTTTCCCCAGCTATAAAAGGGGATAATGTATTTACTTTAATTCCTGTTTTAGGCATTTTAATATGTCTTTTCTAAGGTGTCTAATGGCAGGTAACCATCATCCAGGAGCACTATGAGCATTAATTAGATGCGGTGTCTAAAACGTTTGGAAGAGGAAAAAGTGCTATGGAATTTACTGTTATTATCATCATCATCACAATTTCACAAATCCACAGCAATATTATTTGCTCATAGTCTGGGATGTTTCACACTTCTGCAAAAATGCAAGGAAATGATTACCAGAATGTGGGGTGTACTGTCCAGATTAGTTGCAGAAAACATAAACAGTCATTTGCATTTATCTAATTTAGGTGTTCAGATACCCAGCACAAAAAAGTCCTTCTATGTGCACGTGGTATCATTGATTATTATGTGTAATCATGTCATATTTTAAAATACATTTTATATGTGTGCGACCTGTAATGTACAAAGGGGCCCAATTTCATATTGGATCATTTGAGTCATATTAGGTCATTTTATAAAATATGACAATTATGTGGCATTTGGGTATGAAACAAGCTGTAGATGTGTGTGTGTAGATTCCTGTCCATCTCTGAAAATCTAGTTCAATATTTACAAAAAGCATAAGAAAGTTTAAGCATTTGTTTCCAATGGCAATAATCACACGAAAGAAATAGATGAAAGTAATAATTTGTTCAGTGGTTTTATCAAAGGTGAACCTAGCCTACTTTAATAAATATTTGTTGCACACAGTTAGGATCACTGAACCACATAGATAATATATCTTTGCATAAAGGGATTTTAATAATTCAGATGCTAGAAGAATATTTTATAACCGTCTTAAAAAGATCATACTGATTTAGCATCAGCATTTAGATGCTTTTGATCCAATATACTCCTGATTTTAACTGTTTCCATTCAGTTACAAAATTTGGACTGAAAATGTAAGTTATTGCATGCCTTTTTTTTTGTTCCAGTTGGTTTTTTATGGACTGATTGATACCTTCAATCTTGCAGATCTTGTACTTGTGTAATGCGTAATCACATGAGTAGTCGCAATGAAATTTAAGAGGCTGCTTGGAGGAGTCAGCTTGTTGGGTTGGACCGACATCATATCTTTCTATTATTAGTATTCATACTGCATGCTAATTAATATAGGCTAGAGTGAGACTTGGGGCACACACCCTTGTAGGGGAAAAAGATACATTGCACCTTAGGGTTGTGCCAAAAGGTCCTGCCTGGATCTAACAGCCATATTTAGCTTGGTATTTTATGTTGGTTCTTAAATGTGAAATAAGGTCTTTTGAAGGTCTGGCTGTAAATTAAGAGAGGAAGCACTTTTATCTTGTAAGCTACAAAGGCCCTGCTGTTGGCTCAAGGCTGTGATATTTTATCAATCTCTCAAACCACCACATCCACTGTTCTCAAAGTTAATCATCATGAAGATTCCCAAAGTTGAGTTGCTATCTAATGCTCTGAGAACATGGATCTGAACTCAGTTACATCCCGGCAGTTTCAGTGAGGTTGAATATATCTGCATCCTGTAAACAGAAAACCTATAGTTAGTCTACTAAGTCATTCAAGCTTATGGGTGCTATGCAACAACACTAGGTCTACATCATTGATGTTTTTATATTCACTTCCAGTTGTGTTGACAGATAAGAGCCACATCTTTCATCTTTGCATAAAATATATGGATTAGGCTACGGTGAACTGGTGTATTCGAGGAAGTGGAACACTTAATACCAGATTCTTTCCTTGACTATAGAAATGAAAATTTTGAGCAGCTCGCTTGCCTTTAAAAGTCTTGTTAGATTGGAATTGCATGTGGAAATGGAAGTTGCCCAGTACAAATGTTCTTGGGGTTTTTTTTCTGGGTAGAAAACATATCTGACTGCTGAGCTGGGAAGAAGTTATTATTGTGCATTTGAAACTGAAAGACCATCTAATGATTGCTTATTAGAGGCCCACATTTAAATAGCCTTCAGTTGTTTTGATTTGTGTGATGGATCTTAGTCATTGCCTCTGCTTTCAATTCTATTTTTCCTAGATGACAATGCTATTATACAGTGATAATACTACAGTTAAGACATGAATCAATTCTTATAGAATACCAAGACTGCTGAAGTGTTGCAGTTAGGCTAGGCTGTCTTTAATCTTCAGTGATCGAAAGTGTAAAATATTTGCGCAAGGGAAAACTACAGCTCAGATTTTCCATAAAATAGGTTTAAATGAAAATGTTTGAATAATCAGATTTAGTAGTGTATTCTGTTTGTTACTCTGTACAGGTCTGTAAAAGGTATGGGATAGTCAAAGAGGAAATGTAAATGAATACATTTGGTATGTACTGAAACAAAAATCCAAGTTTAGTTTAGGACAGATTCATAAATTAGCATGTAGAAACATGAGTAAGATGAGAGAATGAATAGTGTTCTTTGCCTGTTTTTTATTTAATTTAATTCGTTTAATACCAATACCAGTGTAGTAGATAAATGCAGCCACCTGCCGTATTTGAAGCTATGGATTCAAGCACATCAAATGAACAGAGGTTTTGTAGTCAGGTATTGTAGAGAAGGGCCAGATATTTTAGAGAGGGGCATGAAAATTGCAAGCACACAATATCTACATGTAAAATTTATCATGGTTATTCATGTATATGTGCAAATTACATGTACAGGTGGCCAATTAGATGTCAAAGCATTTCCTTGCGCATCCCATCATTGAAATTGTATGTGTAGTTGCAATAACTGTAGAAGCAAATTAACTTGTTCATTTTAGTGGGCAAAATCTGGCCAGCTTACACTTCTGACCTTCAGGTTTTAGTAGGCATTTATTCATAAAAAAAAAAAAAAAAGGTTCATATGGAATTTAGCATGATTCACTTTGTTTAGAAGAGGCTGACAGTTAGATTAACACAGCACCGTGTGCATAATTAAGCCCAAAGAAATGACAGAAATCCCTTTTAGAAGCAAATGAACAAGTTATAGAGTGATACATACAGGTCTTATCATTAATGTCGGTCTTCAGACAGTTCAAATCATTAGCTTCAATTTTTAGACTTGGAGTATGTGCCATTGTTCACCGTACCCAATCTATGATCTCACAACTTATTTTTAAGATGTGTGATTGTGGACTGGATGCAGCTTGTATACGCCCTTGCTGGTGCTGGGAGCCATGCTGGGATCCCAATGCAAGTAACTTGGGGTTGAGGGTGGGGCAAGCAGGATTTGGGGGTGGGGTTGGTGGGTCCAAGTGGCGCGGTTGGCTGCACTGGGGCAGACTGGTGGGCCTGTGGAGTGGGGGGTTGGTAGGTCTGGGGTAGGGGGAAGTCGTCCATGTCGGGGTTGGTGAATTGGAGAGCTACAAATAGCCTAGTCGGGTTGGGGGGGCAGGGTAGGAAGAGCACAGCACTGGAGCTGGGGTGAGTGGCTGTGCTTTCCCAGCCCTTGGTGCTACACTTCAAACATATATGCATGTTCAGTAGACTGGGCTAACCCACTTCTGATCTAACTTAGTTCACCTCCTCAGGTGAACTAAATTAGGCTTGGCCAGATGATGTTTTTGCCCAATTTAACCTCCCCAAATATCTGGACAGATTGATTCTTAGATCTACCTAACTAGGGTTAGGTCCATCTAAGGGTAATGTCTGCATGTACCCATAGGTGTAAGATTCCAATAAATGTATCTGGATAAGTTAAGGCAAGATAGGTAATGCTTTACTTTCTAAGATGCTGCTTGACTCTGGGATAAAGAATTAGCCTCCTGAAGATTTTCTTTAAAAAAATATGAGTTCTACATGAACTATATATGTGACTACAGAAACCTCAGGTAAATTCAAACTTCCACAGTGTAAACAACATTCATATTTTAAGTTACATTTTCTGTCTGTATTTTATATTTTCCTCTACGTTTATATGTGTATATATTACTCCTACATTCACAGTATGCAAACTGTGTTTTATACTGTGAGTACAACAGTGTCATATTATAATGCTTAAAAGCACTGTAATTTAATTCTGAAATAGAATGAGCACCAAAAGAAATAATAAATCATAGGTACAGTTGTATAAATACGAGTGGCACTTCTAAGTTTTGCTTGAGATCAGGTCTGGGCTGGCCAATGACCAGATCATTATGGATGGTTTACTTAGTGAGGTTTAATACCAATTACTGAGCTGTTATGTATGTCTAGGTCTGAAATGAACTGAAAGTGTGTATCTACTGTAAACGAGAAGCTAG